TCGGTGGGAAATTTGACAAATAAAAAAAAAAAAAGGGGAAGGGTCTTTGAAAGAACACCACGATAAGAATGACTGCCAAATCAGAAAAGACAACCAAAGTTTTTTTGGGTCATGTCAAAAAGGGAAAAATAACGGAGTACAGGGAGACAGGGGAAAAAGTTGGAGATAAAAAAAAGCAGAGGCAGACAGAGGGGAAGAAGCGGGGCAAGGGCTACCGCTTATGGTATTTCTTCTGTTTCATAAAATACTCGAATGACCGGTTTAATCATTTTAAACTAAAAAAATAGAACTTTTTTAGAGCCTTTTTTGTAGGTATTTGTCCCTTAAAACTGACAACAGCAAATTTCTTTGGGGAAAAAGAAAAGGAAAAGTTTTTTCATCATCTAAGAAAAACCCGGGGAAAGGTTCTTAAAACATCACTGAAATGAAAATAGTGGACTGAAAAAGCGGGGTTTTCTGAAAGCGAACTTTTGATGAGCCTCTCCATACCAGGACAACATTCTGTCAATATTCTGCTCAGTTTCAGTTTCATAACGTGACCACACACAACAAAAAATGATACCGTCTCTTTCTAATGTTTGTGAGGTTTGAGGTTTTGAGGTTTTGAACACCGGACCAATATCATGGCACATTGTTAGTAACTCATAAGTTCTCCGTTCTATATCTAACTCAAGTTTGAGTCCAAAAAAAGCATAGTCCAGTGCACAGGCTCTGTAGCACCGGCGAAGATCCTGAAATACTTTGAGTAGATTTTTAACTCCAAATTTTGCCCGGGCAGCGCCGTTATGCTACTCTTTTCGATTTCCAACTGCCAAGGGATGATTTTTTTACGTGCGCCACAATGCACACGGGCGTCCAATCTCACTGCCCAGAGACAGGGGGAATTACTAAAAGTCCAAGAAGTCCAAGTCCCAGTGAAAAAATCCCAGCTCTTAACGGGAATTGAACCCAAAACCTTCAGCACCAGAGGCGAACATCATGCCTGGAGACCACGCAGCCCCTAATGTTTGTAAAAAGTTGTTTTCGAGCCCTCGCAGCTTTACAAACACCTATGATGCTTTCTTCGGCAGACTCGATGTTTGCATGTTTGAAGCCTCTCTAAACGGCCAGCAATCTGTATCCAGGTCTTTCCTGATGACCTCTTCCCCTCCTCCCCCCACAGTGCCCTATGTAACTTACAAAGATCAAAACATACTAATGAAGAGGCTGTTGATACTGATGATGATGATGGTTGTGGTGGGGGTGGTGGTAATTTATGTAGACCATAATATAGAACCCGGTAAACATCTCCAGGATCTTGACTATGCAAAACACCCCATACGTTTTATAACCCAGTATCCGGATAATTTACAAAAGATACTTTCTATAACCAAGTGTAATTTCCATAAGATAAAGTTCAAAATAATACTCGGTTATCTGGACCGAAGAATTATATAGACAAGAACATATTCAGATTGCATCGTCATGCACAATTGCTTATCTAGTTTAATAATATGTAACCAGTGACCTGGTAGATCTGCAGTCATTCTGTTGGGTACAACCATAGAATAACAACAGTGCATTAGGGTTTTAGTGCTTGCAAAAAAAAAAAGTAGTAAGACTTTAGTTTTCATAATGGCGGATCAATTCAACGACAAAGTGGCTATTGTAACAGGATCTAGTGCTGGTTTGGGTGAAGCCATAGCTCTCATGTTTGCTTCTAGAGGTGCTAAGGTCACTCTGTGTGGCCGTGATCAAGACAGGCTGAAGTCAGTGCTGGACAAAGCCGTGAAGGTCAGTGGTGGTCATCAAGATAGATTACTTACCGTTGCCGGGGATTTGAATGACGCGAACGTTCGGAATCAAATAATTGAACAAACGGTGAACAAGTTTGGACGGCTGGACATTCTTGTGGCTAACGCTGGTATTGCTGGCGATTATCGCCCATTTGCGAATGAAACTGACGAAAACTACAACAACGTGTTCGACACCAACTTAAAATCAGTATTTTTTCTGATCCAAAAAGCTGTGCCGCATCTGGAGAAGACCAGAGGAAATATTGTTAGCATCTCTTCTATTGCTTCCCTTATGGTCATTCCATCAATTCCTACGTACTCGATGTCAAAAGCAGCTCTCGATCATCTCACCCGTTGCTTGGCCGTAGACTTGGGGTCTAAAGGTATCCGCGTGAACACTGTCAACCCAGGATATTTCCCAACACTTATCCTCCGGCATTTGGGAGATCCTGAAGAAGTTGCAAAAGAAATTGCGCAAACAGAGAGAGGACAAACACCGCTGAAAGACAGAGTTGGAGTTTCTGAAGATGTGGCTGAGGCGGTAGTCTTCTTGGCGTCGGATGCAGCAGGGTTTATCACTGGAGAACTGATCAGAGTTGACGGTGGAAGGAGTTACGCAGGGAAAATGACAACTTATTCACCAAAGAGTAAAAAGTAAAAGCCTTAGCAATGTCATATTTGCCTATCTTAGTTTGAACTACCATCTAATTAGCGTGACATAAACCGACTAAATTATGTTTACTCGAATGTATGGTGACATTTTTTAATGAAAAGTTTAGCACATACTAATCCCTTAAAGAGATGCATATTAGTATGTCTATATCGTAATCAGAAAGCCAAGGTCACAGGAATGTAGAAAAACAAAATAAAAATTAAATAAAATTTACAAAATACTTTTTACAGGAAAAAAAAAAATGATGTTTGATTCTTCTTGTTTTAAAAAGTAGTTTTAACGTTCCAACATACTCAGTAATCTGGTTTTGTTTTCTCTTTAAAAAAAAAATTCCTTAGGTTTTTTCTTTAAAATAATGTAATTCATGACGTGTGTTAAGATGCATTATCGTTAAATACTGTGTAAATTTACAAGGCATTTATTATTAGCAAGAACATTTGTATATATATATATATATATATATATATATATATATATATATGAGCTCAATGTATCCATTTTCACAATGAAATCAGCTTGTAAAATACGTGTTTAATTGCCCTTACCGGCAAAAGGACTGCATCTTTAGTCACCGATACCGGTGACCTAACTATAATCTTCTTTGGAGATTCAACGAGGTATCTGGGATCTGCCCTGTTGCTGTGATTTCTTTGTCATGTTCTTGTGGTGGCAAACTTTCAGAGATTAGCCCAGAGTGGAAAAACCGATCGTTCGACCAATTATTTGCTGTGTCTGACACACGTTTATTGCTGAGTTTACTTCTTTTTATTATAAAATTATTAAATCATTTACTTTCAGATCTTTGTTTTACCTAAGAAACGTTTTAGAAAATATAAGAAACTTTTTAGTCAGTTTAATTATTTGCCTGCCTCGCTTATTTATCAAAGGAGATGTTTCACATGACATTCCTTATAAATCCTTGAACAACCAAACAGAGCATCCGGAAAGTTTTGAGAGGATCGGGGGTGTGTCAACCGGTTTAGCCAACTGCGCTAGCGAGTCAGGCAACACAAATCGATATAATTCGCTATATAGATATATATATAGATAATATATATATATATATATATATATATATACATACATACATACATACATACATACATACATACATACATACATACATACATACATACATACATACATACATACATACATACATACATACATACATACATACATACATACATACATACATACATACATACATACATACATACATACATACATACATACATACATACATACATACATACATACACACATACATACATACATACACACATACATACACACATACATACATACATACATACATACATACATACATACATACATACATACATACATACATACATACATACATACATACATACATACATACATACATACATACATACATACATACATCATACATACATACATACATACATACATACATACATACATACATACATACATACATACATACATACATACACACACACACACACCACACCGCACACACACACACACACACACTACATACATACATACATACATACATACATACATACATACATACATACATACATACATACATACATACATACATACATACATACATACATACATACATACATACATACATACATACATACATACATACATACATACATACATACATACATACATACATACATACATACATACATACATACATACATACATACATACATACATACATACATACATACATACATACATACATACATACATACATACATACATACATATCATACATACATACATACATACATACATACATACATACATACATACATACATACATACATACATACATACATACATACATACACACACACACACATACATACATACATACATACATTATCCTCATAATGTTCATAGTATTCTATCAACAATTCAATATCAACATATATGTATTTGCCTGCCTCGCTCATTTGTTTAAAGGAGATGTTTCACGTGACATTCCTTATAAATCCTTGAACAACCAAACAGAGCATCCGGAAAGTTTTGAGAGGGAACAGGTGCTCAAAAACAACTTATCACAAACATCAGAATGAGATAGTCATCATTTTTTTTTAATCCTGTTATGAAAAAATGGAAACTGGAGCATGTTGTGGCCACTGGACAGATATATGGAAAGAAAGACTGGAAAAAACGACGGAAAAAAAAAAAGATTTTTTGACATTTCATTTTTTTTTATATCATGGTGGTGTCAGCACACCAACTGATTCATGCTGTTGAAGATTGCAGACTGTAGAAAGGCGTGATCGCCCACGCAGATCGACAAGGCACTTGATGGTGTTGAATCGAATGTTTGCTCAGTGTTCAAATGTAGTCGGAGTCAGAAATCCCTTCCTCAAACTCTAATAATTATCTCGAAAATTATATTAAGGATCAACACGGAATCCAAAAATTAATAATTGCACAGGTGCTGCTGTTTTTTTAAAGTGATGAATTTATTTGATCTTTGTTTGAAAAATTATTAGTGTACCCCTAACATTTAAATATGCAGTAAATGTCACAGTAATGTAAATTGTTTGGAAATCAATTCACATATGCGACGATGCGTGTTGATTTTGTTGATAGCCTATCAAGCACTCAATGAAAAATCTACATCTTACTGGTGGCTAATGCTTGAGATGACAATATGATAGTGACAAGCCCAAGAAACGCGGGCAATTTGATGATTTCAAAAGTTCTTGTTTCTCAGTTACATGTAGGCATGCTGTTTTGTGTTTAATCGGTGTTTGTTTATTTATAAACCGCAAAAAAGGCACACACAAAAAGATGTTTCTTGAGTCGAGTTGAGTCAAGAATTGACATCACAGCAGCACTCGGGGCATTCCCATGCTTGCTCCGTCCTTTTCTTCAGCAGCCAGAGCAGAGTTCCAGTACTGATATTACCGGTCACAATTTGGTTATATGTCTGTCTTGCCTTTCCTCTGAGGGTAGTAAAGCCGACCAGACCCTCTGGTTACACCCAGGTGCCTCATTCTCTCCAGGCCATAATAATCATTTTTCTCTACGGATTCCGTTGCTTGTTCCCAAAGGGCCCTGACCACATCTGCCTTGTCATGTATTGATTTACCACCAACTTTTGCAGATCCTACCAATCTGTCTATCTGTTAATCACCCACCACGCCGGCATGGCCTGAAGAGAAAAGATCCAACGTATGCTCACTACCTGTGACCTTCCCAGTGAAGCTTGCAACTCTGCTCGAAGCATCTCTGGTTTCACCTTTCTCAGCATGCTTTCAGAGTCTGTTACAATTGCGACATGTGTATGCATCTTGTTCTCTAACATCCGGAAAGCGCCAGTTACCGCCTCACCTCGATTCTCATGCAAATTTCATAGGCTGCATGTCAAACTTCAACAACTTATACGGATCGTTTACTGAGATAAATATTTGCAATGTTGGGCACAATTTCGGAAGCGGACTATAGTTGAGGATTTGTTGCAGGGAACTGAGCTGCCAGGTTTACTTCTGCTGTGGTTTTATCAGGTTTCAGCACACAGTCCTGGATTTCTGTTGTTGTCTTGTGCATCTCCAACGGCTTGATTGAAGTATTTGTGCGCGCACGCGTGCGAGTATACGTGGTGGGCGTTTGTGTTTGCGAGAGTGTATGTGTGTATGTATGTGTGTATGCATGTGTGTGTATGCGTGTGTATAATTGTGTGAATGTGTGCATGGGTGTGTGTATATATATATATATATATATATATATATATATATATATATATATATATATATATAAATGTGTGTGTATGTGTGTGTAGGATTCCGTCTGCTACACCACCTATCCATATCTTCATTGGTCTTCCCTCATCTTCCGCTCTCATCTTCTGCTGTAAAAGGTTTCTTGTCCAGTTGAATGTTGAATTAAGAATCAACATCATAGCACTCGAGACATTCCTATATGCGCTCCATCCCCATTTTCAGCAGCAAGAAAAGAGTTCCAATTCCGATGGCACAAGTAACTAAGTCTGATTGTATATCGGTCGCATCCTTTCCCTGAATGTCGAGTGTCGGCTAGATCTTCTGGTAACTTTCCGTAGCCCCATTCTCCCAAAGACCGTAATGATCCATCTGTGCCCCCCGCACTGTTCACTCGCTCCCAAAGAGCGCTCAAAATATCTAGATTTTCATTAATCAATTCACCACCAAGTGGTGCAGAACCAGCCAGTCAATCTTGCCCTCTCGTTTCCCAGTACACCGGCATGACCTGGAGAAAATATCCTGAAGTGATGCTTGTCAGGCTGCAAGGGAACATGCCTGTCCCCCAACTTTCTCAACATACTCTGTGAGTCAGTTACAATCACGGCATGTGTGCGCAGCTGAATCTCAATCTAGCTGAAGGCAGCAGTGACTGCCTCTACCTCCATTCTCAAATTAGACATTGTGATATCATATGCGAGACTTTGTTGTACTAAGCGATAATCGTTCGCTGATGCTAGAAACCCCCATGCACTTCCTCTGCTGCTCAACACAGAGCCATTCGTATAGATAATCGCATCAACTGGGCGGGAATTGTCATAAATCATTTGTTGAACTTCTGATTCTGCAGCGCCAGCTGGTCCGTCCCTGCACTCCAGACCTAAAGTGATTAGAACCTTACACACGTCTGATTCTTGCTAGGACACTTGGACCCACCCCTCTCCTCGCCCAGATTTATTAATCCTGCAAACCCACACAAAAAAGGGCAGGGGGAGAGGGTTGGGGGGTGGCTTCGTGGCGAAGTGGTAAGGTCAAAGGTACAATCCTACTTCAGAAATTATCACACTAGTTCACAAAGTACATACAGGTAAGAATAAGGGCTTTGATTTTCTGGCAGTAGGTACCGTACCTTTTGAGCATTATTTATCGAGCACTATTGTATTAAAAGAGAGCTGCCATGGTGTATAATTAAGACGCTAGCCTGCGGATCAGATGATCGTGGGTTCAAGTCCAGAGAGA